TTTTTACCCACGTCAAACGTAGGTGCATACTTTCTTTTGGCAGGCAGTTAATGATGCATGTCTTGATGTAGCTGAACTATATATTCAGTGAGTGAGTGGGGTTTTACGCCGCTTTTAGCATTATTCCAGCAATATCACGGCGGGGGACACCCGAAATGGGCTTCACTCATTGTACCCATGTCGGGAATCGAACCCGGGTCTTTGGCGTGACGAGCGAACGCTTTAACCACTAGGCTACCCGACCGCCCCACTATATATTTAAATCCGAGTTAGTGATTGTGGTTTATCCTGCTTCAAGCAACAATGCAGCAATAACACGAAGGGGCATATCAGGTATTGAATAAAGGAGGGACCAATGTTCTCAGATAAATATTTAAGGCATTTAGTATTTCTTATTAAAAGCGTATCTTTAGTGCTCACTACCGTTTTTTTAGCGCATCGAACACTAAGATCTTATTTTGATGAGATTGAGTATATTTTCATGTAATTATTCTCATTTGGTATTTATACTTTCCTTTTGGGTATTCAATGAATTTTACTTCCTTCAAGTCTTTGGTGTATTTTAAACCAAAAAGTTCACATTCTTTTGCATAGTTGATCCCAAATAATCTGTTGTTTTTAAGCGACTTATAACTGCATATGCTCAAGTATGCTGTAACATGTGTAAACTCAGAACACGGATATTTTTTCTACGTTGCAATAAACAAGGCGTACAGTGCTTTTATGCCTACTTTAAAAATAAAAATTGAATACATTCGTGTCATGCATGTGGCTGCCTAAATTACACCCAATAGTGAAAATGTACCCTTCAAAATAAAAATTATCATATTTTCAAATACAGATTTAATTGAAATGCGCTGCAACCAAACTAACTAAACAAACAACACTGAAAGTCTAGCACATTCGCCACTTTGATGAGATTAGCAATAAATTCAGTATAACTCGGTACAGTCACGCGGTCCTTTGTATTGAAATAGCAACCCGATATCCTGTTCGTGACTAATAATCCGTGAACTCGAGGATTCACGACATTTCAGTGTCATTGGGAGAACCATGTCACAGATATCGCCTTGCATCCAGCCACTCATTACGGCTGTTGGGGACGATGGTCGCCAATAGAGAAAAGTAAATAAAACAGTCTACGCACAATAGATAAGGATCCTCATATACATCTAAAATATCTTATGAAGGCAAAGAAAAAAAAATCCTCGTTACGAATAAACAAGAATTCGTTTGTTATGATTTTTTAAGGAGTGGCTAATATTTCATAAGTTAATTGTATTTACCAGGCCACATGACTCTGTCGCTCACTTGAATATACAAGTATTTGACGCTAATGTGGTTTATTTTTGATGTAACTTGATTTGTGGTGGAGATGTATGGGGTAATTTAAGTATACCTATAGTATACACATACATGTTCAATGTCTGGTCATAATCTCATTCGCATAGCCTATTCAATATAAACAGGTAAATGCATTTTGTTTTCTGTTCAGAGATTATCATCATCAGGTATTAATGAAAACGATTCGTACAGTTCCGAAGGCATTGAGTGGCCTAATCTTTGAGCGAATGTGTCAAGAACCTTTTTGAAAAAGGATTTGCATAAACGGTTCAGGTACACATTGGGACAAGAAGAAGACCTGCGAAAATTCCTTGCGATTATTCCACCCATCTGGAGAAGTGATATGTTAAATGAACTATGTACAAAATCCAAATAAGTCTAATGCTATACCCGTGACCTTGAAAATAAGGTCAAGTTCACCATAAATAATTTGGGTATGCAGACTAAGGAACTCCAGTTAATACGACATAATATTTGAAGTAATGGTATATCTTGAGGTATTTCTCAGTATACGAAGGAAAAACCTGAAATTGACATCTAAAAAAGGTCGTGTCAGCGCATTGACAGTATTGAGTTGGTTGGTTGGTTGTTTGACGCCGCACTCAGCAATAGTCCAGCTAAATGACGGTGGTCTGTAATTAATCGAGTCTGGACCAGACAATCCAGTGATTGACATCATGAGCATCGATCCACCCATTTGGGATACGATGACATGCATCAACCAAGTCAGCGAGCCTGACCACCCGATCCCGTTAGTCGCCTCTTACGACAAGCATGGGACAGGAATAGTTTCTTCAATGCAACCTACCTAGTGTATACTCTACTATTCCATTGCCTGAATGGTAGCCATGTTAAATGATAACATACACAAACAATAATATTTAGAAATTTCAATTTTTGAAAAATGTAAAAAAACCACCATGTAATGACTATATTCACACCTTTCTTCCCTTATAGATATTAAAGTGAGTGACTATGGTTTTAAGCCACTATCAGCAATATTCCAGCCATATCACGACAGGGGACACCCAAAATGGGTCACCTTTTACGGCAAGCATGGGTTGCTGGAGACCTATTCTGACCCGGATTTTCACGGGTCGGAAAGCTGGAGTGAATAAATTGAGGTTAACGCCGCTTTGAAAAATATTCCAGTCATATCGTGGTGTGTCAGTTTAACGTGGGAGGAAAGCCCAAAGTGATGCAGGTCTCAGACCTTTAACACTTCGGTGAAACCCACTAGCACGGGTATGGTGCTGACAAACCTAGAAACATAATCGGGGCGAACCGGGATTCGAACCCACGATCGTAGTTTCTGGCTGGGGGTGATGCAGGTCTTAAACGTTGATCACTTCGGTGAAACCAACGAACACGGGCACTGTGCTGACAAACTTAGAAACATAATCAGCAAGAATCTGAATCAACGATGAACAAGTTACTGTTATTTTCTTAGAGACGCAACCCGTGGGGAATCCGAGCTAAAATTATCCCCTAGCAACCTTCGCTGGGCGTAAGAGGAGACTTTATAGATCGGGTGATCAGGCTCGGTTTTTGTTTGTTTGTTGTTTAACGCCACATTCAGCAATATTCCAGCTATATGACGGCGGTTTGTAAATAATCGAGCCTGGACCTGACAATCTGGTGATTGACATCATGAGTATCGAGCTACGCAATGGGCATACGATGACATGCATCAACCACGTCACAGAGCCTGACCACCCGATCCCGTTAGTCTCCTCTAAAGATAAGCATGGGTTGCTGAAGACATATTCTAACCCGGATATTCACGGGTCCCAGGCTCGGTGACTTGGTTGGTGGCGTGTCAGCGTACCCAATTGTGTGAAACGATGTTAATCACTGGACTGCCCGGCCTAGATTCCATTATTTACAGGACGCCGTCATACAGCTGGAATATTGCTGAGTGCAGTGTTAAAAAACACACCAAAAAACCAAACTCTTAGAGATGCAACTCCGCACAGCGAATTGCAGCGTCTTAGAAGACTTGGCTACTGTCATTTATAGAATAATTTACAAGCTATATACTATCGCGGAGTCACGATTGTCTGTTCCTAATTAATTAATGTTTTTTGGAGGAGAAACAGGTAGAACTGGTCATTTAAATATACCGCTCACAAAGAGAGAACGAAACTAGGTCAATTGGTCAAATGACGTCACATACAATCGTATGCATCACAGCAATCACGTCAGTGGAACAATTGGCGTGAATAGGTCAAGTGGAAGCAAACGTGATTGCGAAATAGCACTATGACGCCCTCTGGTAACATAATATTTTACGCCGCTTAAAACGTCATTTCATACAGTACGTTGTATTATGTTCCAGATTTGTCAGCACCATTCCCGAGCTCGGGTATTTCTCTAAAGTGGTCAACATCACTTCGGTATTTCTTCGCACATCAAGCTGACACTCCGTGATATCACAGAAATACTGTTCAAAGCAAAGTTAAACCACACTTACACTCATTACTCAGCGATCCGTTTCACTTGAGGAAATGTCTAAAGGGGCCTATCGCAGTTTAACATGCACAGAGCTGGCCTTTTACAGACCAAAAGTCATAATTATGATGAAACTGGGATTCGAACTGATGTCGGGTCCTGACATCAAAGTGAAGTGTATCCGCAAGAACAAACTAAAAGGGCCTTTACATGTGTCGCATGCGCTGGTAGAGCACCCGAACTCACATGAACACGAGCTACTGAAGAAACTATAGCTCACATGAACACCCTCTACTTATTAAACGTTATACATGTAGATCACCTGGAAACGATCTACAAATACAAAAAGGTGGCACGGGTGGCCCAATAGTCTAAAGCGCCGCCATTCTCTGTACAGTTGCGTCCCCTAGGCGTGCCAGGATTCCTTAATAGTGGGTTCAAATCCCGGATACACTAGCTCTGATTCTGATTGGTTGATTGTCATCGCCATGCCGTGCGTATGGGTTTAATTGTTAAGTACAGTAAAGACCTGCATCACTGTGTGCTTTCCTCCCACGTCAAGCTGACACGCCGTGATATAACTGACCTACTGTTCAAAGCGGCGTTAAGCCAAACTCACACACTCATAGGAGAGTGATATTTATTATATTGATACTGAAGGATACACTTAACGCGATGCTGTTACATACGTACGTGATATATTAAAGTGTTCAACTGTTATTTATAACCTTTTTCAACCTCAGCTTTCAGCCCACAGACCACGTTACGGTTTAGTGACATCATAGTGATATCGATTCTTAGCCGACTGATATATAATCCAGGAGCGCATACCTGGCGTTTGTCCACGGAGGTACGTGGATTAGGGTCGATCGTAGTTTGTCGATGAAACACTAAATTGCACACATTTGTATATACATGATACTGTAAACAAAAGAGTATTGTAAGTTGAAATATACTTTATTCCTTGGTATGTATCCTTCAAGTGTGAAAAAGCTTGAACGCAGCTACCGTGACCGCTAAACGCTGACAGAACGTCGGTAAACAATACATGATCACTGCACACCGATGTGCTTAACAAGCTCAACCCCCAAGACAGAACTTGACCGTTGCGTGGCAACATGACGCCCGGGCATGCGCTAGCACACTCTGACCCTGGCGGCCATGATATTCTTTGGGGGGTCCGTGCACGCGAAAATAGGAGACCTCCAACATTCATGACAGTACTGTAAGCAAGAAGAAGGAATTACACGAGCGGGGCGTTTCGTAACAAATTTCGAGAGAGAACTCACACCTGAGAAACATTCGCCATTTGCCGCGTGGATGTTATGTGAATATGTTCTGACGACTTACAAGCGCTGGTTCGCTTGATGAAGATGTTTTTAGTGAAAAGAACGCGAATTAAACTTGAAGGGGTGATGAAAACAAACAACCCCTTTTCGACACTGATTCTCAGGATATGCATTTTGTGGCTTGTGATAGGTGGGTACATTAGAAATAGTGTCATTACCTTGAATTTGTTAAGCAGTAACAGATTATTTATATGTTTTTAAACTTAGAGTTTTATTTATTTATTTTTAGTTGTGTTATTTAAAGTTTGTTTAATGCGTCGCACGATAACAGTGCTGGTATATGGCTATTTATGATTAAATGTTACACAATTTCTAATTATGTACCATTCACGAGTAAATATAATAAATTCTGGGTATATATATGAATAAACGTTACACAATTTGTAATTATGTATGATTTACGAGTTAATATATGACTTTGTGATTAAAAGTCATAAATTTCTAAATAAGTATCATTCACAAGTTAATATACCATTTTATGTTGAAAAAAGGTAACATTTTATCTTTAAAATTATCCTGAATGACATTGTTTAGCTTTCATACAAATATTTCCATTTGTGTAGGTATTATGTTAAATTTGTCAGGAAGATATAAATTTATGCTTTTTAAGAGCATGTGGCTCTTATTTGAAGCCAGTGTTATCATGGTTATACAACATTGCTGAGATGTATCTTGACCCTTTCAAAGAAATATATGAAATTTTTGCTTCTGCATTGTTTGTTACTGTAGCTATTTTGACCCACAAATTTGAGAAACATTGCAACTAACATCATTCCTAGGTATGCCATCTGTGTAAAACATTATAGAAAAAAATGTAATAAAGAACCAACCCAACCTACCAACACATATCAGTTGGGTCCATTTTACCTGAAAAACTACCTGTTGAGATCCGGGTTATACTAGGTCTTCAGCTATGCATGTTGTAAAAGGCGACTGTGCTTATCATAAGAGGTGACTAACGGGATCCGGTGGTCAGGCCAACTGACTTGGCTGTTGCATGTCATTGTATCCCAATTGCGGGGATTGATGCTCATGATATCAATCACTGGATTGTCTGGATTATTTACAGGCCACCGTCATATCTGGACTATTGCCGAGTGCGGTGTAAACAACAAACAAACAAAAAACAACCTCAAACACGGGAGGGTTTTTTATTGGCTTTATGAGTTTGGGAATTAAAATACTTCAAATTCCATTTTGATTATTAGAACGTAAAAGTTGAGTGAAAGGTGATCTTTGAGACACTTTCCAGAGTTTGAAGAGAAATATTAATGAAAAGACAAGTGTTAGGCCATAAGAAGAATACATTGTTCGTTCAACAATCTTCTCATCTCTATTCCCACATTTTAAGATTACATTAACATAATCATATTTGGTTAGTGATTTTCCTCATCATGAACAGTTTCTTATGTGTTTGAGGTAATTATTACCCACCTTGCCACACAAATTACTGGCTTGTAATGTAATACCATTAGGCCATCTTAAAAAAACCCATCCTTTTCTGGCAAAGCAGTCTAGTTATACCAGAGACCATATCTATAATATGGTCTCTGGTTATATGAAACACTATCCTGATATTACCAAGCTCAAGGTACAAGTGTATTAAGAGTTTTTCCTTTGGTTTCTTTGTACAGAAACCTTTAAGTACACTTATTAATGTAAAATTAAGTGAAAATTGTAGCAGTTTTTATAACAATGAATAATATGGAATAAATGTCTTTACTAAGTTGGTCTCTCGGCTGCCTGAGTAAAAAAATCCCCACTTGTTAATAAAGTCCTACTGGTAAAGTTCAAAGCTGTTTGTGCGGATGAAAATATGATAGTGATGCTCAATAATCGTTTTCCTGTTTAACATGAGAACATGTTTAAACTGCTGTACAAATGTATTACCACCGACCGATATATGAATTGAAAGGTACAGATAAAGACTGAGTAGATGGACTCCATATTATGTTGAGCAGTGGCAAGACATAATTCACTTGTCACTGGACCTGGCTTAGACTAGTTACAGCAGCCATCATTTAGCTGGAACATTTCTGGGTGTGGCTTAAACAACAAACAAATCATCCTGCTTTGAACTACACAAATTTAGTTGTATTACGACATACTCAAGTTAATTGTTAATTGGTCAGCATAGTTCTGTAAACCATAGTTCTAGTGTTGTCTATGATTGTTAATACTATTGTAAATAACAAGATAATGGCAATCTCATGGAAACTCAAAGCCGTCAGTACTGAACTGTGTTTTACAAGGATCAGTTGACCACCTCTGTTGTCTAGTGGATATACTAGGGCTGGGACGAGTCCAAATATACTACTCGGGTACCCTTCACCCTATTATCCAACCCTACCCGGGTACCCGTTGTAGATATTTAGAGATAGGTGCAAACTGTCCGATTTGGAAAAGTTTGACCATAGCCCTTGCATAATGTATTTAGATACATGTGTAAAACGATCTGGGCATGCATACACTGAAGTTTACTGCATGGAGTTTTATCTTTATTCAAACATTTAAAACTCAGAAGGAATAGGTGCATTGTCAGAAAGAAATGGAACATTAGTGGCTTGTAGTGTAACAATAGAGTTCTAGATAATTTTTGTCATTAAACAATATATCATGTGACTAACCACGGGTCCGGGTAGTCCTGTGGGTACCCAAGTCCTACTCAGGACCCCCCTGTGTACCTGAGTTACCCATCCCAGCCCTAGTGGATATAGTGTCTTCTTAGCGAGCAAAAGGTCGGTGTTGATCCCTGGCCATGTCATACCAAAAGAAATTAAAATATATAAGATGGTACTTGTTACCCTGCCCGACACTTGACATTAAGGGGCTAAAACAAGGACTGGTCGACTTGGAGTCGGCATACTGTATCTGAGTGGGGTATCCATGCTCAACTACTCCCTGATGGATCAGTGGGCTAGCACTAAGAAAACAGCATTAAGCTGGACTAGTGCACGCGACGACGTTAAACCCCATTTCACCTCACCTCAAAAAGATTAGTTACAATGTCAACTTGAAACTTAAGCCTCTGTTCTACAGATGTAGGCATAAATTAAACTATACTGACCAATGAAATAAAAGTATTATGGATTAATACATTTGATCTGTAATACATGATCAAACACTCCAACATCAACCCAACCGATCAAACAGGATTGATTGATTTTTAAAAAAAAACAAATACGTTTTTTCATGTTTGTAGAGTATTAAAACATATAACTTAATATAATCAAACCCTCCAGTCAAACCAGGCTGATTCATTGATAAAAAAGTAATTCTTACACAGCTTAGAACACAGTTAAATATTAATGTGAGGAGTAATAATACATTTTACACTTGATACGGTTTTAAAACGTAGAACTTATCTGTTGCAGATTTCAGTTTTGTTTAATTGCGTCAGTAGATGGACATGTGTGCTCTGTGATTTATTGCATGTAGGCTGTGATGTGTGGTGTACTCTGAAGTGTTATTACCCTGTAAACCCTGTCTGTCATAGAAGCAGGACTTGAGAACTGCACCCAGAACATTCACTAACGTGGCACTTCAAACGTGGCGTTGTAAATCCACCCTTTATGTAATTGTTAAACTTTCATTAGCTTTATAAAATGTGCCTTGAAAAACACTGCGGCAACCAATATGTGATGTTTTTATGAACCACGAAGTCTTTGCACAGACCTAATGTAATATATAAAGTGTTAAAAAACAACAACTTGTTATTCTGTTTCTTGTAAGACACTTTAATATATTGTGTGAGGCCCATTTTGGGTTTCCCCTGCTGTGATATGTCTGGAATATTGCTGATAGTAGCTTAAAACAATACTCAATCACTTTAATATCTATAAGGGAAGAATGGTGTAAATAGGTATAGTCATTACATGTTTGTTTTTTACATTTAAAAAAAAATCATGTCGACATTTCTAAATATCAATGTTTGTGTATGATTAAGTAGAGTTATCATTTAACATGGCTACCATTCAGGCAATTGAATAGTAGAGTATACACTAGGTAGGTTGCATTGAAGAAACTATTACTGTCCCATGCTTGTCGTAAGAGGCGACTAACATTGGTTGGTTGGTTTGTTGTTTAACGCCGCACTCAGCAATATTCCAGCTATATGACGGCGGTCTGTAAATAATGGAGTCTGGACCGGACAATCCAGTGATTAATATCATGGTTAGTCTCGCTGACATGGTTGATGCATGCCATCGTATCCCAACTGTGTGGATTGATACACATGATGTCAGTCACTGTATTGTCTTGTCCAGACTTGATTATTTGCAGACTCCCATCATATAGCTGCAATATTGCTAAGTGCAGCGTCAAACAACAAGCAAACGAACCAACAAAATATTATTTGTGTAAAATGAATTGAATGATCTACAATATATTCCTTGTTTTATCTCATCCTGTCTCATTGTCTTTCATAGCACTGTGACTGTTAAGTCAGTTATGGGTCCTGTCTCTTGCCGTACTTTACATCTTTGGAGATGCTTCATTACATCTTTTTGTCTTCAGATTGTGCTGCTGGTCAGTGCAACTGTACCGGGACGTCATGTGACACCAACTGTACTGCTGGACAGTACCTGGAGAATGGACAATGCCTGACCTGCCCGACTGGACACTAGTAAGTATAATGTTGTACTGCCCTTGTTACCATGATGTGATGTATCTGGAAAAGTGCTGACCATAATACAACATACACACTCTAAGACCCTGGGAATTCCGGGTTAGAATTGTTGCTAAGCAACCAGTGCAACTTAATGGCTGGTCGGGCTCAGTGACTTGGTTGATCGTGTGTCAGTCTACCTTGGGGGCATTGATCATTGCGCATAATATCAATCACTGGTTTGTCTGGACTAGAGTCAATTACTTACACCCCATAATTAAATAGTTGAAATATTGTTGGGTGTTGGATTAAACAACAAACACTCACTCGTTGGTTGGCACATGCCTGTGTCATTTCTGATGTACTTGTCACCATTATCTCCCTGCTGACATTGGTGTCTGAGGTTCTACACAAAATGTCTCCTATTCACATTGTTTAAACATTTGAATGAAAATCTAATAATTAAGTCATTAAGTCATTGTTTAGCTATCTCTAAGATATGACTGCACATCTAATAATAACATGCAAGTAATATATTTTAAGTGATATTTTGATATCTCATAGCAATTTGTTTACATATTTTTTGGGGTGGTAACTAACTGTTTAAAAGATATGTAAAATAAGAGTTTATTATGCCCAGAACTTCATATGACACTTATTTTGATGTTTTCCTAACCTATTTTAGAAAATGTACTAAAGACCTTATGTCAACTATCTTATAATAAATTTATTTATCTTATGTCAACTATCTACACAAGCCCTATACAGTATGACTATAAAATGTTGAATTTATCTTCTCAGAATAACTAACATATCATACAAATACTGCAGACAGGACTTAATTATATCATATTTGTTTCGTAATACCCACACAACAGCTTACAATAGTAAACATTTAAATAGGAAGTTATAGTGTGTATCGACCCGAGTACTCGTCTGTGATGTCCAATGATAGATTCATGTCGGTATGTGAGGTGCCAGATTTATGAAGGGGCAACATAAAGTAAATATTCTTAAGTAGTGAATAAATTCTGGAGGCATTATGGGTAGTATATTGAAGTAGAATACGGTTATGGAGATTGTGACCCCCGGTCAACTGTATTTTAACATCTATTAAGTAGGAATGCACAAGTCAATAAAGACACAATATGGTTTCTAACTGTTGAAAAGAGTTTGTAAGTGGTTGGAAAGTGAAAAATGTGTATTTGATGACTGACTGTTGTATTGGGCAGACCGCTGTGACTTTGTGAAAGATCGAAGCCTAGTTATGCTCGTGTTGTGTTATGTCTGTGAGAGGTTACACGACGTGATTTCTATGAATTGATTGTATGAGTGGTCTATCAACCGGAACAAGAGTATAGAGTTTGATATTAAGTATCAAGTAACACTTCTGTAGGATACTATGAACACTGTATGATTATGTTAAGAAGGAAATACACATTGATAAAAAGGGTTATTCTAAAATGTCTGATAAAAACATCTTGTAAATAGTGTTTTAATGATGATTTGTATGTTTGGGTTCATTCCATTTTGAACAAACTTGTAGCACTTAATAAAGATGTATTATCTACGTAGCTTTAGTTACTGTCTCCTTCTTTCCCCACATTGGGTGGAGCTGTATAGTCGTTTACATGTGCCAACACATGGCATCCCAAAGACTTGTTCCATTCCCAACAATAATAATATGTTAATATGTGAAGCACAATATTGGATTGTGTTTTAACTGTGGAATGAACAGTGTCAAACCAGGCCGCCATCATATAAATGAAAGATTGCTGAGTGAGGCAGTGAACAACAAACAAACTTGCAGATGTGTTTAGAAAGGTTTCCACATTCGTCACCTTAAACACACATATTTAAGGAGGCATAGTTTAGTTTGAAATAAGTCCGAACAGAACCAAAAGATTATTAAAATTGGCTAAACTTTTTTACAGATTTTTGGCGATATCTTATCACACACATGCAAGGCAGGAATGTATGTATGGGTAAAATTTGGTAACTAGAAGTAGAATTGTTTTGGATCCAGACCGTCCTATCTTCCTTCTCAAGCCCCAGCAGGTTGAGTAGCAGCAGAGAAACAGACTGTGATGTCTTATTGACTGGAACAGTAATATTGCAAACACAATCAGTACTACTTCAGCCCCACTCTTGTTATGCCTTTCTTCTTTTGTCCAACCTTTATATGGTTTACAATAATGTAATGAAGAGCTCTCAGTGGAAATGAGGAGTCCGTGATCCAGAAGGGCTGACACACTGTCAGGCCAGTTGAAAACATAGTCTTCTTTCTCTGGATATTGTTTTGACTTGGTAGGGAGAAGGATTTCATTCTTATTTTTATTTCTTTGACATGTTTAATAACAGGTTGCAACTTTATAAAAGTAAACTTTACAATGTACATGACCTCTTGGCTAGACCCGTTAATTGTAGATCGAAGTATGAAGAGATGAGGTCAAGGTCATGGTGAATCGGCAATGTTGCAAAAAGGAAATTTGAGTTGAAAAAGTTGTTTATTATCAGTGCTTAAAAAAATATGTTAGGGGCGGGTGACGAGAGACTATAAGCCTGAAATACTGAGCTTTAGTTCAATATGTACTTGTTTTCTTGAGAAGCCATGCTGTCTTAATTCTCTCTCTGACAAGACTCATTGCAGCATGAAATAATTGCATGTCTGGAATCAATATTCACTAACTAGATGTATTCATTGTACAAATGGGATCAGACATAAAACTGGTTGACCTTCTTGTTATCTATACAGTTTAGTCATCAGTGTGATTGTAATGGCTGTTGTTTGCTGCGCCCTGTCAACAGTTTCCTTGTGTTACAAGTATGTGTTTAAAGACACAAGTTGTGTTGGATTGATTTTGTGTCACTAATGATTGATGAGATGTAATTATGGAGTGAGAGGTGTGGTGGAAGGGGATTTTTTAATGAGTACTCCACGACTCCTGGACTTGATATGGAGTCACAAGTAGGTTAAAGAAAAACATTGTGTTGACTTGACGTGCTCAAGGAAGATGAACATGTCCACAAAGTTTGATATTCTGGCGGTGGTGGGGTGGTTTGGTGGTGGGTAGGTGGGTAGGTGGGATGGTACTAGGGCTGGGACGGGTAACTCGGGTATCTGGGTCAGATGGGTACTGAGTAGGACCCGGGTACCCACAAAATGCACACTGCCTTTACCCAAAAGCGGTGTCCTCGCTTGCATTAGCCAGGGATGTGAAATCTCCGCGGAAACGCGGAAAATCGCGTTTTTTAAAATAGTAGTCCTCGGAAAAAATCATCTTCCGCGGAAAAAACTATTTAAAATTTAAAAAAAAACACTCTGAAAAATATGATCGAAAACCGGACAATTGGCGCGGATTGTCCTGTTTTCGATCGGAGCTTTCACAGCATAGGTTTTCGGACATCATACGTTTTCCGTCACGAATACTTGCACTATAACGTGGGGCATGGCGTCACACAGAAATTGTAAATACTCAGAGTCAGCTGATGGCTTGTTTTTAAGATAAAGTTGTCTTTTAGCCTGTAAGTGAATGAGATGTTTTACAGTTGTTCATGTGATAAGCGAGAAATTTATGAATGTTTCTTCAGCGTCCAAAACCCCATGTCATGGGGATATATATTGTATTTATGTCTTATGTTTGCAATGGAGTTTTGTTTTTTTCATCAAAAGGTAAGTACAAGGTAAGTTTTTTTCAATATGCTTCAACATGGGGAAAGGGTCAGACATTGCACACTTGTGACAGTTGTCCTTGTGTCTGGGGGATGGGGGTTGAAGTTTATGGCAGTATTGCTCCCAGACCTGGCGGGTAGCCAGGTGCGCGAAAACTATGCCCGATTTTTTTAAAGTACTGATTTAACTTCGAAATTTTACTGCATCTGCCATCTTGTTTATTTTACTTATTGACTTTTGCCATTGACTTATGACATTTCTTGGTGTGAATGTTGTCCAAACTGCATGAAATTGCTTAAAATGCAATCAAATGTTTTAAAAATTTCTGGGGGGGCATACCCCCAGACCCCCCTAGACTTTTCCTCTTTTTTTCGGCAAAACCTGCTCACATCCCTGATTAGCACTTGCAGGGGAAAACATGCCTCAGGCCATATGGTTGTGGAATATCATGTCCAGTGATTTGTATATTCCCGGTATTTTAAACTGGCCAGTACTGTTAGGATTATAGATCAGCATAGGTGGAACTTAATCCACTTACCACAGATCCAGGGAGATTGAACCAAGTCTGTTTAAGGCAACATAAACCAGATCCATGTAACACCTACATGTTGCAGTAAATGACATAACTGACTTGGTATGTATTGTATGGTTAGTGTATAATACTACTGAGGATTGCAACGTGGAGCCGTTATTATGGGTTTAGCACCTAGAAATAGGGTGCTTAAATCGTACTGACGGTATAGACCACACATGCCCTGACATGTGGCACAGGACTTTGTGTTATTACCGGTAACTATGATTTCGGGTACAGCTGATAGAGCTCATTAACAGAATAATCATATAATGAGCAAGAAAAGTGTCATAAATATATGTGTCATGCGTGAATAACACATTTGTATAATATTTTGTGAATATAGTGATAGCATTTAAAAGTGGGAGAGATATGTCAATCGGTTTTGGGAGAAAAGGTATAAAATTGTGCGAATATCTGGGAAATACCAAACGTAACCCCCCTATTCATAAAATAGACTTGTCCAACATTGCCAAGATTGGATTGTATTCAGGGAGTCATCATTATTAAAAAAACGGTAAATATTTTGCAAAAGTGTGTACGTTTTATTAACATCCTTGAAGATGCTGTACAAAATGTTAATATCTCATATAATCAATAAACGACTTGTAGTCATTGTTTGTTGTACAATAGAACACTGCAAGGAGAATAAATCATGCAAGACTGCGTTTATTTCTTAAATATGCTTTTCCACTTTCGATTGGGGTGTTTTTATTTATTTATTTTTTATTTTGACACAAAACTGATTCTCATATGTCAAGTGTATATTAAAAT